AAAAATATGCACTATTAATTGTTCAATTCTTTTTATAAAGTATAAAAAAATAATTTAAAACAATATAAATGTTATCTCGTTTATGTTATCAATAACTAATTGTAATAAACATTTTCATCATTATCATTATGCTAATCATCAGATATGTTACATAATTACTTAACTATCACTACCGTTATCATATTTTATATGGCTACTCAAAAGTTGTAGTAATTATTTAATACAACTATGTACACACATACAAACATACATAGACATACAAACATGCACATATGCAATACATACACATACACACGTGCACAAAAAGATTGGAACGACATGCACGCGCATGCATAAAATATTAATTAGTTCATTTTTCGAAAAATCTGAAAATTGTAGCATAAATGAAAGTAAAACGAAACAATATAGAATAGAAATGGAAATGAGATGGGATATTTTATTGGGATAAAAGTAATTGTGGACTATGGACTAAAATGCCAGACATTGTTGTTTATGAGAAAACCACGGGAAAGGTATGATGTATGATGTATTACTACTACATATGATGATGATGATGATGATGGTTGATGATAGTGATAGTATATAGTAGTTAATGGTGTATGATTTGATTTTCATTTTGCGTCTCTAAGACAACGGATTTGAACGACGACAATCTCATGATAAAATAGTAATTAAATGCTCTTTGGTTAGTTATTTTGCTTACAAAATGGGAAAATTTCAGAGTACATGAAAGCATTGAAATGTTTTGCAAAAATATTAGCAATAATCAATTAATTCGATTTATTTGTTTATAATTGACCATATTAATGGATAAATATATTGGCCTTTGTTGCTACAAAAAAAAAAAAAAAAAAAGAAAAACTACCTTGATTAAACTTTATGAGCCTAAATAACTAATTAATTAATTATATATGACGAATACTTTCAATGCTATGGCAATAATTGGTTTGTTGATGAAAAAAGAAAAAAAAGAAAAGAAAGAAATGATTGTTTTAGAAGACAATCTTGAAATGTCTTCATATTATTATGCCAATATTAATGAAAACTTTCTATATTATAAGCATATAACTACGCTATTTAATGAGATCGAATATATTATATATACATACTATTTATTGGCTCATTCTATTTCTTAAACTTGAAAAGTGCTTGGATTAATGGGAAGTTCATTTCTTTATTCCATTTTTTACAAAAAAAAAAAAAAAAAAAAAAAAACAAAAAAAAACAAAAGAGAAACAAACAAAGAGTAAAAAGACTTTTGAAACTATTGAAATCTGTATTTGTGTCATATTATCATACATTACCTTGTCAGACACTACCCTGACAAAATTCCGTTCCGGAAATAGCTCTGTTCCGAAAAGAAATGCACATAGAATCATTCGAAGGTTTCTACTTATCCCAATTACATCAAAAATGTGAATTTAAACAGAAATATTTTAAAGAATTAAATTAAATTAAAACCCGACCATTTAAATAATG